TGGGGAAAAGTAGACCAGAATAGTGTTGCTTAATAGAGATATAATATAATATGAGCCAACAATGTGAGACATAGATGTATTTTTTTAATTTTCTGGTACTCACATTAAAAATAAGGAAAAAGAAATAGATGAAAATTATTTTAATAATGTATTTTTTAACTTAATGTATCTATCACATTATTATTCTAACATGTCATATAAATTTACTAAGAAGAAATTTTGTATTTTTTATGGTAAGTCTTTAGAATCAAGTGTGCATTTTACACTCACAGTAAATCTTAATTTAGGGTTAACCATACCTCAAGTACTCAATAGCCATTTGCAAGTAGTAGCTACCCTATTAGAGAGCACCAGTCTAGAGCATGCTTCTCAGAATTTAATATTGCTATGGTTTGAATGTGTCCCCTCCAAAACGTATGTTAAAACTCACTACCCATTGTGGTGTATGATGTGGTAGGGCTTTTGGAAAGTCATAATAGCTTTGCCTCAGAAATGGCAAATTATTAAAAAAGTGACTTATTAAAAAAAACTGGAGGGAACTAGTTTAAGTCCTTTTCTGCCACCACCTTGGAAGCAGAAAGGAGGCCTCACCAAATAGCAATTCTGCCAGCACTTGGTCTTGGACTTTCCAGCCTCCAGAACTGTTAGAAATAAGTTTCTATTGTTCATAAATTACCCGGTCAGTAGTATTTTGTTATAGCAGCAGAAACTAAGGCAAATATGCATATGGAAATTTTGAGGATCATGTTAAAATGTTGATTCTAATTCAGTGGTTTGAAGAAAGCCTCAGATGCTTCACTACTGGTTCATGGACTATACTTTGTATATTAAGGAGCTAGGTAAATGTGGCAAGTCTCAGGTAGTGGGTTTTTGCTCAAAGAATTTCCTCCTCTCAAATTCAGTGAATATCTGCTGAAGAGACTAAACTAATATTCTAATGAACAATCTCATATTAGAACTTGGAAAAGCATTAATAACTTTAAAAATAGGCAATATTTTAATACTATTTGTAGAAGCCCTGAGTTCATCTACTGCTTTTCTTTTTCCTTTTTAACTTGAGAACCAGCCAATATGTTTTCAGAATGCTTTCAAAAGAATGCACTTAAGCACAGGACAAGTGTTTATAATTCTAACTTCAGGGGTTTGGAACGCTAAACATTTTAATAAAACAGGCAATGGGACTGAAAGGGAAATTTGACAATAATACCTTTAAAAGCTTTAGTATTTTATATCATTTTCTGGTCAAAGGTATGAATATTTCATGGAAGCTCTAAAAAGAAACACAAAGAAAAAGTTTCATTTCCTTTTGATTATCCTATCTGAGGGATGGGTAGAGCTCTATAGGCAAGCCTTAGATCTTTGTTCAACAAATGCATAAACATGGAAATGTAAGCAAATACGTGTGCAGAAGAATAGAAATGACTCTACATGAAACAGTTGTCCTTGGGATATAAAAGCTTAAACCAGGAATAGTGTTCTGGAGGGGAGCAGTGAATTAAAATGCTGAACAACTTGTCCTCTCTCATCAATGTTTCACTTATAAACTTAAGTAGGTGGTTTACTCTTTACTTTATTCTCTCTCAGATGGTAAGAATAATGCTTGTCATACCCATATCAATAGGGAGGTGTGAAGGAGCTTGCAACTGCAACCTATTATCCACTTATAATTACTCACAAGTGTGTCAGAAAGAAACCACTGAATCTTAAAGACATAGTTAAGATGGAAGCTGAATTGAAAAGATTACCAAGTGATCAGGGCCCTTTTTCTGCTGCATTTCATAATAGTAGTAGCTGTCTACTGATATTTATATTTTCCACAGTAAAAATGCAAAAGACTCTAATTATAGAAATAACTTTTGTCTCCACACAGACTAAAAGACCATGCCAAAAGTTTTGAATATAGAGACTTAATGAAATACCTAATTTCAAATTTTGGCTTTAGTTCTGAATCAGACTAAGCATGGAACTCCATATACCAAAGAGACTTTTTCCCCTAATAACAATTGCCTAACTGCCACATGTTATATTAATACTGGGCAGTTAAAGAAGTAAAATCAAAAGCAAAAGTATAATATCCTATAAGACAGTATCTTTATGACTTCCAAAAAGGATGAGATTTATTAAACGAAATACAAAAGTGCAAACTGCAGAGATAAAGTTTAAAATGCATTAAAAAGACTATCAGAACTTGTGATTTCTGACCATCAAATCAATGAAAAAGAAAGAAGAACTACACACTGAGAGATGATATTTTGCAATACATATGAGAGGCAAAGGATTAGTCAATATCCAAAATAAATAAATAAATAAAATGAATCTTACAGGTAAAAGAATAATAAGTCACTTTATATAATAGGAAAAAAATCTTCATAGGTACTTTTCAGAAAGAAAATCTGAACAGCCAATAAAAGATGCCCAATCTAATAAATAATCAAGTAAATAAAAATTAAAACCACATTGAGAGATTATTTATAACTCACTACAGTGGGAAAAAACAGTTTGTTAACATCTTGTCTTGGTAAGGATGAGGGTTAACCTGATCACTTATACACTACTTCTCATGGATACAAAATAATATAACTACTCTGAAAAATAATTTGGCATAATCCTGTACACTCTTTCATGTTTCTGGCTTTGCATTTTCTATAAATTAAGAAAAATATTTATTTTATATTTCTGCATGAATTATATTTCAAGGTAACCAAATAATAAGGAAAAGTTTTGCTCTATAGAAGAATTCAAGCTAAAAAATTCAGGATAAATGACAGAATTATAGAGTCATAATTATTCAACTCTTAGTAAAAATATTTAGATAGCTTTCAATAATAGATGCTAATACCATTGGATGAAATTGTATGGGAAATCTTGTAATGAAGTAATCAGACTGACACTACCTGAATGTACTGATCAAGCTCAGAGGCAACAGACAGTATGGAGTATCATGTATTAAAATTTCTTACGTAGAAAAATATTATACTGCATTTAATCAAATCAGTTTAGAGGGAAGAGAGGAATACAGATAATAGAACAAACAGCAGGATTTTACTGGATCAGTAAAATCTAGAATGTGAGACATTTCAGAACAATGTTTTTCAAGACCTGGCTTCTCCAACAAATAAATAGCATAGAAGATAAAAAGAAAGAGGGGGATGGTTGTAAAGAAAAAAAAGATGCAAATAGTCAAGATACAGTATGACAAAACATAATACTCAAATTTTGATTGGTCAGACCAACTATAAAAAATTTAGACAGTCAATTAAATGTTAACAAGGTTGAAAATGAAATGTGAACTAAGTATTAGATGACATTAAGGAAAGTATTTTGTTAGGTATGATAATGTCATGATGTTTTCTTTAAAAATGTTATCAGATAAAGATCCATGCTGAAGTGTTTGTGGGTTAAATTAGATATATTACATTTGCTTTAACAAAAAAGTTAAGATAATAGAATTCAGGATTTTAAAAATTATTAGTTATAAGGGTGGTAATGAAAAGCAAGAGGTCTAGGATAACATCTGGATTTTGCCTTTGGTTTCAAGGGTGGTGTCATTTGCCATGACAGGTGATACAGAAGCAACAGCAGGCTTCAGGAATTAAAATGACTTTAATTCTGAACACAAGTTTTAAGAGTCACAAAGGGCTTGATTGAGTTTGGAAACCATAAATTATAAGCAGCAGCCATCCACACCTTTGTGAAATTTCCTAGAAATTTCTTCAGCAGTACCCAGGGGTGTAGCTACAAGTGCTGTGAAAAAATGTCTGGATCAATCTACTTTGGAATGTCATTAAGTCAGATATAACCAAAGACCAAAAAGACATGGGCAATGGGGATTATTGCAAGAAAGAAGTTAAATGATATGTTATCCTAAGTTAAATAGAAAAGTGCTAAATCTATTAAAGTGGTGATGGTAGCCAGGCACGGTGGCTCACTCTTGTAATCCCAGAACTTTGGGAAGCTGAGTTGGGTCGATCACCTGAGGTCAGAAGTTTGAGACCAGCCTGGCCAATGTGGTGAAACACTGCCTCTACTAAAATACAAAAATTAGCTGGACATGGTGGTGTGCACCTGTAATCCCAGCTACTTGGGAGGCTGAGGCAGGAGAATCACTTGAACCCTGGAGGCAGAGGTTGCCATGAACCAAGATGGTGACACTGCACTCCAGCCTGGGTGACAGAGCAAGACACTGTCTCATTAACAACAACAACAACAACAATAACAACAACAACAAAAGTGGTGATGGGTTAGGAAGTCTTCAGATAATATCAATAAAGGTAGATAGAGGATAACAGGCATCTCAGAGGAGGTAAGTATTGTTATAATTATCAAATAATGATCTGAATACAGTAGTGGAGAGTTAAAGCAGAATGCTGCTACTTAATTTTGGGGTGCTATCGTTAAGTAAGAGAGAATAAAATGTTGTAGCTTGCACGCTATGTAGAAGGAAGTAGAATAAACCATCTGTGGATAGATAGGTAGAGTGGAATAGATCCTAGGTGATAGATAAGGGTTCTAGAATAAAAGGCAAGGATCAGTAGCAAAAAGAATGATGGGTATGAAGGGTGTCCCGGGTGTCCCGGAATAAGCCAGAGATGAGAGAAATGAGGGCGAGCTGGTCAGGGGCCAGCACTTTGGCTGGTGACCAAAGAAAAATGGAGCAAAACATGTTAGATGAGCTGCTCTTGAGACTTCTGGGCGGACCAAGTCCCAAGTGCTGCAAAAACCTCACGGGGTTAGCAAATTTTAGGCACTACTTATAATTGAAAAGGAGTGTCACTGGGAATTTATTTACCTTGTCTCTGAAAAGTCCTTTATCTCAGGCTATTAATGGGAAAAAATGCATCTATGCTTATTCCTTATTTTAAGATTTAGTTCTTTTTATATTAATAATCAGTTGTATCACATTCCTATTATATATACATTAGCATTTTAGGCACAATGTTGACCGTAAAATAAAGTATTTGTCCCTGCCTCTAAGGGCACAAGAATTGTATATAATTTACCTCATATCTGTGGGCCTTGGAAGAAGTCTTTTTTTCCCACTAAAGTAGACTTCAAAATCTTCAGTCTTTAGCCTGTGGGCATAGTCGATGTATCCTGATATCTCTTGCCCATGAGAATTTCTGTCACGAATAAAGATCACGGACTGGTAGTGCAGAATAGAGAATAAGAGAAAAACATAAAAGAGCTTCTTTATTATTGAATGCTATAGAATAGAATAATGTAAAACACTACCATGAGTGACCTTAGGAAGCAGGTTCCGAAAGAGTGGTTATAAAATTGAACAGATTATTTTCCCCCACTACACCTTAAAAAAAGAAAAAAGAAAAACAAAAACAAAAACACGTTACTGGCCAAGCGCGGTGGCACAGGCCTGTACTTTGGGAGGCTGTGTCGGGCAGGATCACAAGATCAGCAGATCAAGATACCTTCTCCAATATGGTGAAACCCCCTCTCTACTAAACTACAAAAAATTAGCCGGGCGTGGTGGTGCACAACTGTAATCCCTGTTACTCAGGGCTCTGCGGCAGGGTAATCGCTTGAACCCAGAGACGGAGTTGTCAGTGAGCCAAGACCCTGCCACTGCACTCCAGCCTGGCTACAGAACAAGATTCCCTCTCAAAACAAAACAAACGAACAAACAAACAAACAAACAAACAAACAAACGAAAACATGTTCCTAACAATATTCCAACTGAAAAAGGAAAAGAACAACGGAGATACAATTAACAATTGGTTGTTATTATGCTGATAGATTTCACCCGGATTGCTTATTCTGGTTGTTTAACATTGAATGCTGAGAATATTGTACTAAAAAGGATTCTCAGGCAAGTTCTTGGTTAAGAGGAGAAGGTGTTGTGATGGATTAGTTATATATCACACATATATGGCAAGAGGAACTAGCATTCTTTCTGATTCCTGTGTGCAATCTTATATAGATTTCAATCCTCAGCCCTTTTCATTTTGCCCAAATAACTCCACATAAATCAGTATCAATTTCTCCATGCTTTTAAGCCACTTCTTTAATTCTGCAGCACATATTATAAACAAATAGTAACTCAGAGACTTCCTGAGGCTCACACTGCAGGCCAATGACTAGCAATACTGCACCTCCTTAAACAAGGACATACTGCTATAATTCTTAATATTTATATGCATTCCTAAAGGTACTTGGCATCTTTTCACCATCAAGGTTGCTCCTGATATCAATTATGTCATATTGGGACACACACACACACACACACACACACACACACACACACACAGAGAGAGAGAGAGAGAGAGACCCCCTTAAATGAAATTCTATTAACAGAAAAAGAAAAATATCCCAAATATCCCCCCTGACTCTTTAAATGAGAGATGAACCAGACTTATTTCTCCAGAAGAATGGCAGTCTAGATATTGTGACTGACCTTCCTACTAAAAACAAATAAAAATTCTGAGTAAAATCTGAAACAATAACCTGTAAAATGCATTGATGCTCTGGCAAGGAAAAGAAATACTCAGAGTCCAAAAACTAAGTGAAAGCAGGAACCCAGGGAGGAGAGCAGGGCCTTAAAATAATCTTTGTCCTGCAAGCATTTGCCCAACCTCAGGGAATTTGAGCAAGGTTTCCATGACCTTGCAGGGTAAGGATGCAGGAAATGAATTCCACCCTTTCAGAGACAGAGGCTCATGGAAGCTGTTGCCTCAACAGAAAGCCGATAAATAAAAAATGCATGAAATACTATCTTTAATGAGTCCAGAAAATATGACAATTATCCAAGAACTGCACATCAGAGAAAATTCTTTCCAGTGAGCAAAATATACACATCTTCAGATAAATAATAATAATAATAATAATAATAATAATAATAATAATAAGGGACTTGACTAATAACAGATCATAGCTCAAAGAAATTCTGCAGGATATATTTCAAGCAAAAGGAAATGATTCTAGCTAGCAAGTCAAAGATAAAGAAAATTGTAATGAAAGAAAGTTACAAATATAGAAGTAAATAGAAACAAATATCATCTGTATAAAACAACAATAATGACTTCTTAAAGAAAGAATAATATGTTTAAAATATTTTAAATAAACATATATGTTGGGAGGGAGTGATTAAAGTCTTGTGATGTCCTGGAATTTTTCAGAATGAGGGCAGATATATTGATCAATTTTAGAATTTGATAAATACATGTGTATAAATCTAGGATGATCATTAAGAAATAAGAAATAGTGTATATATATATATATATATATATATATATATATATGACCTTTAAATTATACTGGGATATATAAGGCAAGAAAAAGTAAAAAATCAATTAAATAGAAAGCAAAAGCTAAAAGGAAAAATATAGAAGAGTGAGGAAAAATAAAATACAAATAATGTAAAGATAGTGCTATGGAGTCAGTTGTGTTCTCTGCAAATTCATAAGCTGACACCCTGAATTCCGGTACCACAGAGGTGACTGCATTTGAAGAAGAGCCTGTTGAAATGTGAATACGTTACAATTAGCTTTTTAGGGTGGGCTCTAATCCAAGCTGACTGTGTAAATGTGGACACAGAGAGATGGCGTGCACGTGTACACTGTCAAGATTCTGTGAGGACACAGCAAGAAGACGGCCATCTGTAAGGAAAAGAAAAAGCCCACACAAGAAACCAGACCTGCCAACACCTTCAACTATCTTGGACTTATAACTATCAGAACTGTGAGAAAATAAAATTGTGTTGCTTAAGGCATTGTCTGGGGTATTTTGTAGTGGCAGCCTTAGCAAACTCATACAGATTATAATAAGAAAATAATTAAAATGTGCAATAAGCATAAATGACTAAATGTTTAAGTTAAAAACAAGGTTATTAGCATATATATATATATTATATATATTAGCATATATATTAGCATATATACATATATATATATAACATGAAACGTAATACCACTTAGAGGTTGAAAATTAGGTAAAGAACATATATACAGGAGAATTTCCATCCAAAAAGAGAATAATCAGTATACTAATATTAGCCAGAATGGATTTTAACATAAAAAGCATTACTAGAGATAGAGCTTCACTGCATAATGATACAAGGTTAATGTCATAGAAAAATACAGCAATTCTAAACTTGACAAAGTCTTTAAAAACAAAGTTTCAGGATATTTAAAGCACAGATTGATAGAGCTAGAAGGATATGTAGACAAGCCATTATCACTTTGGTGAATTCACCTCCTTCATTATTTCTAGATTAAGAAGATAATGAATACATAAAAATTATAGAATTAATATGGATTTAAAGGACTTAAATGCAAACATGAAGTCTTGGGGTTTACCGTAGGCTAGTATCAAAATTTCTTTATACTTCAATGTTCTTGTAAGTAAAATGACTGATAATCTAAAATTACATATATTTGGCCATGATTTCACTATTTTATGTTACTGTATATAGTCTTCTTGTGTCAGTTAAATCCCTCTTTTCCTGAAAACATAATTAACTTTATTTCAAACCTCACTTCTCCAGCCCTGTGAAAATTAAATGTCTTCTCTGTGATTTTTGTGAATTCTTGGTTTTCTGATGTTTGAAGACTTTAAATGAGGTCAAATGGAGTATAAGTGTGCATCCCTCTAGAATCATATATAGAGACCTCAGCAAGTCACTCAAACTACTCTCAATGTCTTGCTTAGATTCATTAGTTCTGGGCCCTTAAGCATCCTCCTGAAAAATCCAGCAAGTTTCTGTCAAAAACAAAACAAAACAACCGCCAAAACAACAGAATCCTGCTTAGACCTGATCATTTAGCTAGTTTGTCTATTGAACAGCCTCATTCTTCATGTTTCTCCTTTAACTCTGTAGAGCAACAGAATAGTCCTTTCCTGCCTGGAACTCCTCGGTTTGCATTCACGTGCTGTCGGGGTCATCTGCCCTCAGCATCCAATTCAGAAGCATTATACAAATACTGCTTTTTTTTTTTTTTTTCTCACAGTTAGAATTCTGGTTAATAATCATTGTATCTATGATTTTTTGTTTAATTTTCAACAAAAAAATGCCCAATTAAAAATTTTAAACTTAAAATTCTAAACGCAAAAGAGATAATTATGAGACTGTTTTCATACAAATCTCATTACGTCTTTCCAACTATGGCTACATATGGGTAAAAGTATAAGAAGACTTGAGAAGATTGTTAAGAAGATTTTTTAGTAAAAGTTTTAAAAAGTTTGCTAAAATAAAATATTTTTCTAATATTGATTGAAATTGCTTTATTTCTAACATTGATAGAAATGCTTTATTATTTTTAAAATTTGATTGGAACTATTAGTATGTGGTAATTGATGACAAATCATCAGGAAATTACAACTCATCATTTAGTTTTAGAAACGCATCTTTTAAATGGCACAGTTTGGGGTTTCAGGGGCAGAAGAGGTGATAACACTGACAATCGGACAGAAGTGGGTGGCAGATGTTAATAGTTGTCAAGAACTTGAGGGCTGGTTGAAATTTCTGTCTTATTTATTTTGTATTTTGTGGATTATCTAAGAATTTGAATGAAGTTATACTATCAGCTTAAGTTAATTGTGTATTTATTTCAAAATGTATATTTTTCTCCAGAGTTAATAGCAATCATTTCTCCTATGAATATTTGTTATCATTTATTAAGAGGCCACTATATTCTGAGTGAAGTTTTAAGAGTTTTACATTCATTATCTTATTTAATTGTGTCAAACATGTTATAATGGCTAGACAGCATTACTGCCCTCATTTTATAAATGTGGGAGATGAAAGCATTGAGAGTTTTGACAGCTCCCAAGGACAGGTAGCTAGAGAGTGGAGCACCAAACTCACATCCAGGCTGGCTTCCCGTGACACTCGGGTTCTTATCTACTGCATGATGGACAGGCTTGGATTCAAATGCTGGCTCTGTCATCTACTTACTGTGTGACACTGGTAAGTTACTAATACGTTTTAAGATTTAGTTTCCTCTGTTATAAAATGGGCATAATAATACCTAAAGTGGTGTGCGAATTAAATAACACTACTTTGTTAAGCACTTGGTAATGCCTGGTACATGGTAAGCACTCAATAAATAGTATCTATTGCTTTTGAAAACTTTTGTCATCAATGTTGCTATTGTATCTGTAGTATGTTAAGAGTTTCATAAGTTCCTTAGG